TGGGACGAACCTTTTGGGCACTGGAGGGATGTCTGGCTGACTCTCACTGTTCCATGATGGAGTTGGAGTTGGGGCTGCTGGCTGTGGTGATCTAGATCTTGACCTTGTTGATTCAGGACTCTGTCGTCCCCTCAAGCTGCCAGATCTGGATCTGGATCTTGACCTTGACCGCGCTCTCCCTCGTGACCGTGACTGCAGCTGTCCATGACCAATTCCTGGCAGCTGCTGGGATGCTGCAGCAAATGTGGAAGGCTGGGATACTGCAGCAGAAGTGGAGGGCTGGGATACTGCAGCAGAAGTGGAAGGCTGGGATGCTGCAGCAGAAGTGGAAGGGGCCTCCTCAGTGGAAGAATAGGAGCTTTCCTGTCTGGCTTGGGTGGGTGGGATGGTGTCTTCTTCATTTACACGACTGTAAAACAAATAAATAAAGCAAAATATTAGATCATTTAGTGTTTTTGTATTTGATTTCACATAAGATTACCATGGCTGAGATAGCTACTGTACTGTACCCACCACAGCTATAATATGACCATTCTCTCTCCAGCCAAAAGGTGTGACCAACCCCCCTCTATTCTCTCCACAGGTAAAAGGTGTGACCAACCCCCCACTACAACATCCTTTGTTTGTATCTCTAGGTAAACTCAGACAAACAATGGCTGAGAGACAAAGTGTAATCCACAACTCTGTAACAAACATGAAAAAATTAAATACTACTTTTACAGAACTCATTTTTTACGTATTTAGAACATGTATATTTTATCATATTAGCTTTTTCTTTTTTATACTTTTTACAGTAAATAAACTCAGACAAACAATGGCTGAGAGACAAAGAGTGTAATCTACAACTCTTACTTCTCAATCTCTGAGGATCCATTATTCTCCGTGTTTCTCTGTGTATTCTTCAAAACTCGCGTCTCTCTCTCTCTCCTCAAACACTGTGCCGTGCGTCTCTCTCTCTCCAAAATATCACCCTTGGTTCATGCGTAATGACGCACACCAACGTGGACGACGGATCAGCCTGTCATTGGTCAAAAACCTCACGAAAAGCATTGCGAGATGTCCAAAATGGCAGCTAGCATCGAGCTAGCGGCAAATATGACGGAAAATTGATAAATTATGGACTTCAAGTGATCAAAACTTGGATATACACATATGGATTTATTGCTGAAATAGTCTGAAAGGACGCACAAGTTCCAGGCTGGATAGAAAACCTTCTGTAAAGGCTAGAAAGACACCAAAGACACCGCCGTGACGGCTAGCTTGTTAGCTTTCTGCTGCAAAAAACGGTAAGAAAATCCATCAATTTTTCATCAAATAATATCAATATTTATCGGAGGAGTCGCGTGGCGTCGTCGACGATGCCGTCGGTCTCAGAGGGTTAAGAAATGTATTTTTTTATGCAGGCCAGACACACAGCAGTGAAATGGTTAAGCCCCCTCCCCCTAAAAACACACACACACACAGAGACAGAGACGTAGGCTCAGATTGAGCATGACCACATTCAAACAAACATATCTGACTTTCTGTGGGTCCTAGCTAATGAGTGTCAATTAGAAAGTTGTCCAGCTCGAGGAGTACATTATACATACTGATTTTTGTAACTGTAGATAAAACTAACAACCCCACTTTTGTCAAAAGGTGGTGCTACTGAGCCCTCACCACGCCCGTTTCTGAAACTTTGCACGTCTACTGGCTAATAAATGTGATGTGTCTGAGTTTCATGCAATTTAAATCATGTTAAGTGTCTCAAAAGCATCCTAAAAGAATGGTAAAGTTTGATGCATTGCCACAGCAACTGTTTAAAAGATATCAAGAATCCATTCACAGGTCTACATCTGCCGTATATTTACATTATACAGATGAAGTTTGAAGCAAATCGGGTAAAAATAAGAGAGTGATTTCAAAGCATTTTGAAAGTGACACACTTCCTTCTACCAGTTGGTGGCGCTATAACTTTGACTCACAATAGTCACATCCATGTGATCGTCCTCTTACAGCGAACACACTGCTGAAGTTTCATCAAGATCAGTTTATGTATGCTGAAGTTATAACACACTTCCTGTTTCACGTTTCTCGCCATGATTTCGTTTCCTCGCCACGGCCAAACCGTTCGAGATATCAAAAATCCCCACACAAGCTTTCATCCTCAATGTCTTGACTTCACGCTGACCGAGTTTCGTCGAATTTGGATCAAAGCTCTAGGAGGAGTATTTCACATTCCATTGCGTGTTTTTTACAAACAAACCTCAATAGCCGACTTCCTGTTGGGCTGGGGTAAAAAGTAAGAGGGTGAGGTATAGATGAAACGATGAGATCAACATGTGTACCGAGTTTCATATTATTACATGCAAGCGTGTTTGAGTTATGGACCAAGTGTTCGGACCCCGTTCCAGGGGGCGCTGACGAGCCGCCTCAATACACTCACACACCTTCGCCTTTTCAGGGCTTGGGCCCTAATAATCCTAAGGAAAACAATAGGGCCTTTGCCCTTTCAGGGCTTGGGCCCTAATAAGAAGAAGAAGAATCCTAAGGAAAACAATATGGCCTTCGCCCTTTCAGGGCTTGGGCCCTAATAATAAAGAAGAAGAAGAAGAAATAATCCCAAGGAAAACAATAGGGCCTTCGCCCTTTCAGGGCTTGGGCCCTAATAATAATAATTCTAAGGAAAACAATAGGGCCTTCACCCTTTCAGGGCTTGGGCCCTAATTGACCTATGGCTATGCCACGCCCTCAACCAATCACATGAACCAATCACAGTGCGCAGCTAACCTCATTACACTCACACATTCTCTGCTTCCACTTCCATTGAAATGCATTGGAGTTAGTCAGTTTTCTTTCGTTTTTTCTTGACTGAGCCTGGGTTCTCCCAAGGTTTTTTTTCCTCCATCCAATCTGATGGATTTTTGGTTCCTTGCCACTGTTGCCTTGCTTTTGGCTTGCTTAGTTGGGGATATTTAATATTTAACAATATTATTGATCTGTGTTGTACTACTTTCATGTTATCACTGTGAAGCTGCTTTGATACAATCTGTATTGTGAAAAGCGCTATATAAATAAATGTGACTTGACTTATTTTAAGTTTAAAATGGTCAAACGGTGTGCATGGGGTACATGCAACTCTGACACTAGTTTCCTGAGAGGTTAGGCGACGGTGTGTATTTTTTTACCCTTTCCCAAGCCACATCTCAACCAAGATAAGTGTCTGCTCTGGATAAAGTTATGCGATAGCTAGACCACAACACCAAATAAACGCAGATAAATTAAACAAGGATGTCTACATCTGATCTAAGTTAGTCAACAACGTATTTGAACGTTATCTTTAAAATCTCTAACGTAACGTTAGTCTAACTTTAGACGTACATTAGAAAACATTAACGTTAGCTTCTAGCTGCGTTGTACATCATGTCAATTAGCTTCATTAACATATATCTGTAAATAACCGAGATAACAAATGTTAACAATGTTGTGCTGAATGATTCATGTAAATACTGTAGCACCAAACGGTGATGGCAACGATATGCGGGTTATCATGTTTACACTGTGACCTGTACATTTTTGCCTGGAGCTGAAGCTTTTCATTGACGTTCTCAACAATAAAATTATTAATATAACCCTCCAATGCATAGTTCATGCCCTTTAGGTGACTTCAAGATGATATATAATTTTGCTGTTTCCAAAAATCACCAATTGCCTCCTGTGAAATGTCTCCTACTGTGACAGCTGCCATAGCGCCCGTGCCGTGTTTGTCCGAGTGAGTGGAGGGGGCGTGGCTTAGCCATAGGTCAATTACACTGTTTCCCCTTCCCTTACACCTTAACCTACCCTTAAACCGACCCATACCACCACACCTGAGCCTAACCTTACCTGTATCACACCTCAATAGCAGCAAAAGTGTTTTACAATACAACCTGAACACAATAAGAAAATTGTACTTATTTTTTAATGTAAGTACATAGTACTTCACTTCCTGTCTTTGCGAACCACGTACGTCTGATGCAAAATTTGCGCTAACATACAAATCAGTTTAATCTACTAGGGAAAAAATTTCAGATTCAGTCGGAATAAAATTAAATGTAACAAATCAAATGTTATTATGTCAGGTAAAAGTATCATGCCAATTTCATAATCGGCTCAAAGATAATAAATACAAAACATCAAATGCTCTGTAATAAAGAGAATATGCAAATATATACTTTATATTCTCAGAGAGCAGCCCTCTCTTCCAGTTTCTCCAGTCTTACAATCTTAAAATGTTGTCTAATTACTCTTCTAAGAAACATGTGCATTGCAGGAATGTTGTCATGACAAAACCTTGATTCCTACGCTAACTGATTTATTATACATCTGTTAATGTTTTCTGCCACACACTGCTGCCGATAGATATAGAAGCGCGCTCCTGCCGATAGATACACAAGCTATAGATACACAAGCTATCCTGCCGATAGATACGCACACTGCTGCCAATAGATGCACACGCACGCTGCTGTGGGCATGTGAGATATGCTGAGATCTAGACAGGTGGAGCTGGGGGAGGTGGACGGGTTCTGTTGAGCATGCAATCTCATTGGCTGAAAAATCAGCATTTGTCCTGCAATTTAATCACCATTTGTGCCATCTAGTAAACAATGCGATTGCAAACAGTTTGCATTAAAGGTACACCATTTGCATGCATTATCCTACTGCTCATAAAACATTTACTACTGGGCTTACGAGATTATAACCAGTTTAGATGAAAAGAATCTAAACTGGAATAGGTGACCTCAAAATGAGGTTCTGTCATCATTTACTCGCCCTCAAGTTGTTTCAAACCTGTATGTGTTTCTATCTTCTGATGAACACAAAAGAAAATATTTTGAAGAATGTTGGAAACCAGACAGTTGATGGACCCCATTATTTGTTTTCCTACTATGGAAGTTTAGCACTGAACTCACGTGATGTATTTATATTTAGTGCTGTCACATGAACTGATGTGTGTGTGTGTGTGTGCTGTTCTCCTCCAGGCACAGTCCCTGACTCCTCCTGACTATAACTTGCGCTGGTCCGGTCTGCTAGTGACGGTGGGGGAAGTTCTGGAGAGAAGTGTGCCCAACGTGAGCCGCACAGACTGGCACCAGGCCTTCACCGGGACGTCCCGCCGGCAGATGATCTTCTCTGCTGCCAGGGCTCTGGCTGGCATGTACAAGCTGCGTTTGCCCTCCAGGACAGTGTGAACATCAGATGCCGCTGCGTCACACAGACCGCAGATTCCCAGAACAGCGCAGGAATCACCTTTCCATCTGTAGGTGTCCTGTGTTCTCCGTCATGTCCCATCACACGCCTGAGCTGACTCACATTATCCAGCGAGAGAGAACCTTTTCATCAGCTGCGTTTCTGCATCATGTCTGAATAAACCAGCTACAGGGCAGAGAAACTAGTGTCGCTCTTTTAAATTATTGATTCAATTGAATATTATGCCCTTGATTATACTTGAGTTTGATATGAATAAATGACGGCGTCCCAGTCTGTACGATGGAAATAAAAACACGTGTCATCATGACCAGAATGCATCTGTTGTCCTACAGAGGGTCCGTTTCTTTTGAAATTAAATATTTAATTAAGATTAAATCTCACCAAGGCAAAGATGAGTCTTATCAACCAGATGCATAACACTCATGTTTACATTTGTAATCAAATACTTTGACTTGGAGGTTTTTAAAAAACATTCATAACATTGTGAATATACAATTTTGATGTCACGGTTTTTGGATCTTATTGTATAGTATTTTCTTTTCGTTCTAATCATCATCTTCACAAACATTGTAACAATATTGTGTTTGTCTTCATGTTCGTTTCTTTCACAGCTTGGTCCATGTCGGTGTTTACTGCGGTCTGCTCCTCATATAAATAAACCGGTTACTACAGATGTTACATAAAACAATCTTAAATCTGTGCGCTGTGATATTCTGCAGTTAGCGATGATCTTGCAGCAGGAGGGTTTGCTCAGAGCCACGCAGGAACACACACACATACATCTGGGCATGACCTCTGAGTGACCGCTGATGTGTAGCACATGGACCCAAAGAGCCTTTAAATGTTTATAATATTTCTCTAGAAAAACTGTGGATGATTTTGTTTTATGCCATTTTACAAACGTGCCTTTGACCTTGCAGACGAGTAAAACATTTTTGTAAAGCCTCATGTTGTTCTGTTGTGTTTTTGGTGCCTATACGTACAAATATCATCAGCCATGTTCTATTCTCTGTGGTCAGAAGTCAAATTTTATACGTAAATGGAATTTTGTTTTCCACTTTATTGTTCCTCACATCGTTCCTGTATTCCAGTTGTTAGATTATTAGTAACACTGACTGGTGAGTGAATGAGATATTTCAAATATATCAGTCATGATGATCCATGCCAGTCGAACTATAACCCAAAGAAATATCAACCGTAGTTGTACCATAAATGACGCAACCAAACAGATCTAAGGTCAGCAATCTAATAGCTATATTGCTAACGCATGTGTGTGTTTCTGAAGGACTTGGCCAATCCAGGGCTGTTTGCAGTGCTTTACTGACCCTCACAGTTAAATACTGTTTTTTTTTTTTTTGTTTTTTTTTTTTTGTTTTTTAATGAATTTGAGAACATTTTGGGCAATGTTGTAACAATGCATGATCAATTTTACTGTTGGGTGATTTTAATATTCCCATTTGCTGTCCCAGCAAGCGGTTGGAGTTTTGTAATCTCGTGGACTCCCAGCTTTTCTTAGTGTGTGCGCGACTCTCACGCATACTAATTTCTCTCTCTCTCTCGTCATCATGAAACTCTGGTGCAGATGTGTGTATCAGTCAGTTTAGCAACACTTTAAACACCATGTCAAGCGTTCGAGTACATAATCTGCATGAAATTTCTCTTCTGTAAAGTTATTATTGAACATTTTAGGTCTACTTAAAGTCATTCATATTATTCCTCCGCGCTTTCTTAGGCAAATTGTTACTACTCTATAGGGCCTGATCTTCTGTTTGAGCAATGGCACGGTCCCGTACAGCCTAAAACATGCTTCAGTTACTCCACTACTGAAGAAACCTGAACGTAATGTTACTGTCATACATTCACAACAGGTCATTTTAGACCAATTTCTAATCTCCTGTGTCCTTAAAAAATTCTGGAAAAGGTGCTTGCAAGTTGCTCAATTAGTCTTTTTTAGTTTTTGAGTTTGTATCAGACAACATACATCATCATCCGCAGCACATCTCTCCTGTGGTGTTCCCCAGGGATCTATCCTTGATCCAACTTTTTTTTTTCCTTGTAAATGCCCTTGGGTTTCAATTTTCATGAATATTGGGTGTTATTTGATTTATTAATCAAATTCCATTGTACCTTCCACACTGTAAACCCTGATAAGTTAAGATAACTCAAAAAATTTGAGGAAACTTATTACCTCGAAACTTTTAAGTTGATAAAATTAATTGTTTTAAGTCAGTTACACACTTAAATCTATAGAGCAGATTCACTCAAAATTACTTAATTTAATAAACTTTTTAATTTTAATTTGTATTAATTAGAAATGAATACCAAATTTGTTTTACATTTTAAAATATATGTAATACTTAATTTTCAAGAAATATGACATCAAAATTGACATTAGCAAATATTATTCCTTAAACATTAGAAAGGAAGACAATTTCAAACTCCATACATGAAAGTACATTTTATTTAGCAAAAGGAATTCAAACCATTAACATGTGTCACTGCCATTACCTTTTGAGAATGTAACAAAAGTGTCACAATATCTAGACATTTTAGAAAGTGTAATAATACATTAAAATATTTCAGAAGTTTTTACACCGTTCATGCCAGCATTATAACAGACCTCTGTGTACATTAGAATGTAACTGTATTAGTCACAACAAATGAAAAGGACTGATAAGGTGTAGAAAACGTCCAGAGATGCAGGAAAAACTCTTTAACAAGTAAACCTTTTTTTTTTAAACAGCGATCTGGGCCATCTTTTAGTAATGCAATCCCAGTAAATAAGAAGTGAACACAAATTGTGTTCTTGAAAATTTCGAAATTTGAGATAAGTATTACAATAGACTGTAATAATATTAGTCACAAGTGAAATCAAATACAATAAACAGTCTCTTGTGCATCCATAAAATCTAATCAGTAAAAAATACAAATAAAAATCTGGGTGCTAGTGGCTTTGAGTCATCCAATCCCAGTAAGCTTTTTTGGATAAAGTTAAAGGAGTAGTTCAATTAAAAAAAAAAAACAAAACAAAAAAAACGTTTTCTGATAATTTACTTACCCACATGTCATCCAAGATGCCCATGTCTTTCTTTCTTCAGTCGAAAAGAAATTAAGGTTTTTGATGAAAACATTCCAGGATTTTCTCCATATAATGGACTTCAATGGGGTCCAAACAGTTCAAGGTCCAAATGAGAGTTTCAGTGCAGCTTCAAAGGGCTTTAAACGACACCAGACGATGAATAAGGGTCTTATCCAGTGAAACGATTGCTCATTTAAAAATAAATAAATAAAGAACTTTAAGTTTTATAAGCACAAATGCTCGCATTGCTCTGCTCTGTGATGCATGTTCATGTGACATCAGGTCACTAACGAGCATCACAGAAAAGAGCAAGGCAACCATTTGTACTACTTAAAACTTTATTTTATTGTTTTTAAATGACCGATCGTTTCACTGCACAAGACCCCTACTCATCGTCTGGTGTCGTTTAAAGCCCTTTAAAGCTGCACTGAAACTCTCATTTGGACCTTGAACCGTTTGGACCCCATTGAAGTGCATTATATGGAGAAAAATCCTGGAATGTTTTCATGTAAAACCTTAATTTCTTTTCGACTGAAGAAAGAAAGACGTGGACATCTTGGATGACATGGGAGTGAGTAAATTATCAGCAAAAGTTTTTTTTTTTTTTAAGTGAACTACTCCTTTAAATGTGTGTGTCAGCTCTTTGGGGTATTTGAGATGTAATGCATATATCAAACATCAAAAGAAAAGCATCAGCCACCCTGGAAATGTCCCTTAGAACAATGTCACCTTCCAGCACAATAGCAATCCCAGCTGGGTCAAACTGAACAGTGGAAGTCTACACACCATACAAACAATGTTTAAATTATATACACAGACATCCTACGACGACAACAACTTTAGACGCATAATTTGTTGTTGAATTGGCTGACAGACTGAAATGACTATTTGCTCAAAAATCATAAAATGCACTTACTAGAGGTGATGTTGGATCGCAAACAGTAGATGACGATCCACACTTGAGGATTAATTTTTAAGCCACAACAACAGGATTAACCCACGAGTCCACGACAGAACACTTATGATTCCAAGACACATTACCGGCTGTCGTTGAAACAATGGAGGATGGTGTGTACAGATCACAGAGGGCGGGGACTAGGCCATAACCACACTGTCAATCAAACCCCTTTCTCACTTTCTACGTCACAAAGAGCTGAATCTCAGAACAGCTCGTTCTGAGACAGTGCATAATATTATGATTTATTGAGATTGAAAAAAACCACTGGGTGAATTTTTATCATTCTAGGGTGGTTTTGCTCACACACTGCCAACACACATTTATGTTCAAACACCATGTAAAAGTGAATTTTCCATAATAGGTGCCCTTTAAACTGTGTCAGAGTCAGAGCCTCGGACCGTATCGTGAAGGCTATTCCAGAATTTTGGAGCTAAATGTGAGAACGCCCTCCCTCCTTTAGTGGACTTAGATATCCTAGGAATGACCAGAAGCCTTGAATTTAGTGATCTTAAGGAACGCGGAGGATTGTCGGGCGAAAGAAGGTCCGTTAAGTACATAGGAGCTAAACCATTTAGGGCTTTATAGGTCAGTAGCAGTATTTTGTAATAGATACGGAACTTAATAGGTAACCAGTGTAGAGATGATAAAATCGGTGTTATATGATCATATTTTCTTGACCTAGTAAGAACTCTAGCAGCTGCATTTTGCACTAACTGTAGCTTGTTTATTGAGGATGCAGGGCAACCGGCTAATAAAGCATTACAGTAATCTAGTCTCGAGGTCATGAATGCGTGAACTAATTTTTCTGCATCAGAAATTGATAGCATGTTACGCAGCTTAGCAATGTTTCTAAGGGGGCTGTTCTTGTAACATATGAAATATGATTTTCGAAAGACAAGTTGCGGTCTAGTATAATACCCAGCTATTTTACTGTAGTGGATAAAGTAACAGGACATCCGTCTATATTAAAGTTGTATTGTAAGAGGCTTTGTGAGTAGTTTTTTGGACCAATAAGTAATACCTCCGTTTTATCTGAATTTAATAGCAGGAAATTACGCGTCATCCAGCATTTTATATCTTTGAGACACTCTGTCAATTTAGATGAGTTAGTGTTTTCATCTGGTCGTGATGAAATATATAATTGAGTGTCGTCAGCGTAACAGTGAAAATGAATTCCATGTTTTCTTATGATATTACCAAGTGGCAGCATATATATTAAGAATAGCAGAGGGCCTAAAACCGATCGTTGCGGTACTCCATAGTCTACTGACGTTATCTTCGATTTTTCCCCGTTTAAACAGACAAAATGATAACGGTCCGATAAATACGATCTAAACCAGCTTCAATGCCTGTCCCTGAACACCAGTGTAGTTTTGTAGTCGATCCAAGAGTATTTTATGATCTATAGTGTCGAACGCAGCACTAAGATCAAGTAGAACTAGTATTGAGATACAGCCTTGGTCAGAAGCTAAAATTAAATCATTTGTAATTTTAACTGGCGCAGTTTCTGTACTATGATGCAGTCTGAATCCTGACTGGAATTTTTCATAGATGTCATTTTCTTGCAAAAAAGAGCACAATTGAGCGGACACCACTTTTTCTAGTATTTTGGACATAAATGGAAGATTTGAAATGGGTCTGTAATTTGCTGAGTTATTTGGATCTAATTGCGGTTTCTTAATGAGCGGTTTTATTACAGCCAGCTTGTATATTTTTGGGACATGACCTAAAGATAAAGACGAGTTAATAATATTGAGGAGAGGCTCTTCCACTACAGGTAATAGTTCTTTCAGTAGTTTAGTGGGTATTGGATCTAATAAACATGTTGTTGGTTTAGGTGCAATGAGTTTATTTAGCTCTTCCTGTCCTATCGTTGTAAAGCGGTTTAGTTGTTCTAGAGGGGCCATA